GGGGGGGGGGGGGTGATCTTTATATTGGTTTATGGAAATAGTTGCATTTGAATTATTTTCCATGAGTGGGAGTGCATACAATTTTTTTTTTTTTTGAACTGTGAAGTGTGGCATGATTGAAGGCTTTGAACCAGTGCTCATTATTCTGATAGCACTGAATTGTGCTCCAGGTTTTATGTCTGCCATTGTAACTTAAAAGTGATGAACTCTTATCACAGCAAAGTCAAAATAATGTTTTTGAGATACTGTGTTTGTGGCTCTTGGAAAATACAGTGACGATCATATTGGATGTGATGTTGATTGCATATTTTTGTTACCTAAATTATTGTTGTGAGGATGCCTGTAAAACTATAGGGTTGTAGAATGGGTAATCTTAACCCAATTTCAAAAGCATTCAGCAAACAATTTACACCACTGTGATTTCCAGGCGTTACTCATGTAAAAAATAAAAGCCTTCATTTTCACATCCTTGATCCAAAGGTCATTGAGCAAGTGGGATTATAGCTCTCATTTCTAAATTCCTAGCCCTCTAACCGTTATTCCATGGGGTAGTTGAGAACCTTATTAATAATAAACAGGATTATTATTGGCAGGGTTTTTACATTTGAAGTAGTTGTGGGCTTTCTTGCCCATAGAGTAATACATTTTCAGCAGCATGGATCAAAGATCAGCTGAGCTAGTATTATTCAGGATGGGAATGCAGTTCAGGAAAGGAGATCTTGAGTTCTGGCTTGATATGTAAACAATAATGTTGCAGAGGGAAAAACAGCTAACCCTGAATTCCAGTGATAATAAATTGGATCAGAGAACCATCAGGATGCGTATTAATTGGATCTGCTGTGACTTATGGGAAGCATGGCTGTATATTGGTACATTAAAAGGTATGCAAATGCAAAACTGAAATGTTTTCTAAGTGCTTAAAAAAGAAGATAATATCAACATTTTTGGTTTTTAGATTTATTTCTAAAATTTGTCTCTAGAACCTACTTATACATACATTTATAATGTTACTGAAAGAATTCATGTTATTTTCCCTGTTCCTTACATATTTGTCTACCTTTTCTTTTCACTAATATTGTCATCTGTCCTGGGCTTATTCTATCCTTTGTCAGGGGAAATAAATTAAAATAAGTTAAATCTAATTTTACAGTTGCTGACACAAAGCAGAACTGTCTGCTTTCTGAAATTAACACTCTAGAAAGAAAGTGGGGTTTGAATATGATTCATTCAATAGGAACTGAGGATGAAGATTTCAGTAACCAATTAGAACTCTTCCAGCCACATCTTATATAGATCTTATTGCAATGTCATGTTTCTAAGCAAGCATTAAAAAAAAAAAGTGCATTAAAGCATTGGTCAGCCATCCCCAACCATTTGCCTTCCAGTTTATTGATACTGATTACGAATGATAGTATTTACAGTCCAACATTACTATAATGCCCCAGTTTGGGGAAGTCTGATTTATGAAATATCTTGAATGATTTTGGGAAATAATGTATTTCACTTATTACTTACCTTAATCAATTAAAAGCCCAGAAAAACAACCCCCATTGCTGTTCTCCTTGAGGAAGAATTACAAATTGTCACTTTCAAGTACAAACTTAGGTTTTATGACCCAGTAGCTTTTCTTAATTTAAAAATCTATTTCTAATGGAGCAATATAATTAATGAGTTTTTCATTTCTAATAAGAGATTTTGCAACATGAACACTGAAAAATAGAAGGTAATGTTTCCAAATGCCATTTTATTAATAAGGGCTTTACATCTTTATTTTCTTGACCCAAAGGTATCTCTTAGGTTTCAAAACCTAAGAAATTAAAATGTCAATAGAAGAGAATATATGTAGCTCAAGGTTGACTTGTGAAGTCCGTGGGGTTCTCTGAGCTTGGTTGTTTTCTTGCAGACGTTTTGTTACCCGGCTAGGTAATGTCTTCACTCCCTTCTAGCACTAACCCCAAGGACTCCACAAATTAAAATATGAATTTTATGCTATCTTTAGTAATATGTTACTTGTTCTAGGCTTAATTTTGTGCATTCAGTTATCCAGATGCTTCAGGACTGAATGCCTTTCATTCTAAATGTTCTTTCTGGAAATCACTGGTTTGGTTTAGAGCAGGCTGGGGCAAGGGGTAGGGGGTAGATAGAACTGGGGTAAATAGAGAAAGAGTCATGACATTCTACAGACTCTACCCACCAATTGATTGCACTAATCATCTTTGTCTTTCTGCACATTAACTCCTCCAACTGGTCTAGAATCAAAGAGGTAATGATTTTCTCTATTTAAACCTCTTTTTAAAAAATAATTTATATTTTAGTTTAAATACAGTTAAAAATAGTTTAAACAAACTAAAAATATCTGCCTTGACTGTCCTGTGGGCAGAAAGGCTAGATAGCAATAGAGGAAGTAAATGATTTCTGGAAGTTATTAAATAGATTATTAAGTAGAAGGAGTAAAGGTCTTTGCCCCATTAATCCACAAATGCTGGCATAGGTTTCTCACTTGGCACTCTGCAGTTGGATTGAGACTGCAACCTCAGAAATCCCTGGGACCATGCATCTGGCTCATGCAGAATTGGGGAAAGCTGTGCTAGAAAATTGTAAGATGTTGATGCCTGCTTCTCTTTGCCAATAAGAAAAGAAGAAAAAAGAAGTAGTAGTGGTAGCAATCATGATAGTAGTAGTTGTTTCAACTAGCCAAGAGGCTGAAAAACTGACTATCTGAAGCAAAACTTGTTTCATTAGAAATTGCCATATTTTATCCTCCCTCCATCCTTTTAATAATAATTATGTGGTATTGGAATAACAATAAAATAAACAAACAGGAGGTTTTTAGAGTAGTTGTTTAGATAACAAGTCTGCTATTAATTTCACAATATTTTCATCCTTGTAAATTGCAGCCTCAAATCTACAAGACCTAAACTTATGTATTTTGGTGATTTATCCAGTGAACTGATAATCTACTTTCATTTAATTCTTCCCTGCCCCACCAACCACCACCTTTTGCCATTTGCCTCAACTGTGAAAGACTTTATGTTTCTTTAAATTGATTCTGCTATTACGCTGAGAATTCTCTGATGTATTTCTATAGAGTTGTATTACCGTTGGCTTTTCTGTTAACTTCATTTTAGACCTTTTTCTTCAAAATATTTTTCCCCTGCTGGCCACAAGAAAGTCTAAAGATTCAACCTGGAAATACTGAGATAAAAAAGAAAATAATTCTGTTTTCTGTTAGTATTGTATTTGCCTAGCAACTAATTATATACATTTATTTTTAATTCATAAAAATAAAAAGTATTAATTTATACAGATCCATCTCATGACTTTGCCTTACTACTCTAAAAAAAAAATTCTCATTTTCTTCATTCTTCTTGGCAGTGATGACCTCTTATTTGGATGTTTTCTTGCTTGTGGAGATCTTCATTTCCCCTTTGAGTGGCATGCTGGAGAGGAGACTCCAAAAAATTGATAGTACCAGAACATTTTTTTCCCAAAAAAATGTCACCTGCCAAGAAATTCCTAAATTGACCTTAAATTTAATGATCTGTTAAAAAAAAAAAAAGTTCAATCTTGTAAAAAACAAACAAAACATAATATCTGATAAAACTGTGATTTTGGCAACAGCTGTGAACAGTACCCATAAAACGCTTTGGACGAGCTACATGTGGGCTATTGGCTTTGGATCATCATTCCCAATAAAAAGATTCAGACCTCCAAGCCAGGGTGAATTCAGATATAACACTGGCTCCTTGCTATGATTGACAAGTAATGGCCATCCTCCAAAATGTATGTTGCCTCACTTCCCTAAAGAAAATTCCTTGTTTTCCTTGCTCTGTTTTCTCTCTCTCAACAATAAAAAGAAAGAACTTTGGATCTTCTTGGATCAGAGAATCAGTCCATCTGGTTTCGCATTCTGCTTACATATTGAGCAGCTCCAGTGTTTTCAAGAATCTCATCAGTGGGAAAGCAAAGACATCTCTTTTTGTTAGTGGCACATATAAATTGCCAGTTGTCAAGTTTGACTCAAAAGTGTTTATAGTTTATTTTACTAGATTTTATCTAATCATCTTTTAAATCCAGTCAAGCTATTGTGGGATCTTTTAGAAATGAATTTCAGGAATTAATTAAGCATTGTGCAAAAAAATTCTTCTTTTTTTCTCTGCTGAATATAATTAAGGGTTCATTGATACTAACTTTAACCAGAAATTATTCAAACCCAGCCCTCAAAAAGAAAGATTTTGATTGAAGGTAATCCTGTTTAAGTTGGCAAATTAAAGAGTGAAAAGAAAACAACTGTTAAGCCATTAACCCAAAACTTGGATGGTGTTAATTTCCTAATTTTTCTTTTAATAAGGCCACACGGTTATTCAATTACAAGCCTAACTACTGATTTGAAATACCAAAAAAAGCTTTTATCAATGGATGAGCATGTGTTCTGAATGCCAAATATCCCTGTTTCCATCACTGGCATGGGCTGGTGTGACTGAGAAAGACTTTTGTCTGAAACCCTAAAGAGTCAGTCAATATGCATACTATTGAAGATAAACAAATTGATCTGATTCAGTGGCTTGGATCACAACATGTGCTAAACTATAGTTTCTTTGCCTTGCTTTGTGGAATAAACCTCAACTATTTGGGCAAACGCAACAAGTTATGCCATAAAGTAAGGTTTATTAATCTCAGTGTCCAAGTGCACATGTTAATTAAAGCATAATATGCTTCATGTAGGTCTGACTTAATGCAGCAAGTGACCCCAGCTAGTGTTAATTTCAACTGTCTCTTACCTGTTCCCCACTATCATCTTTTGTTGTTTTTTAATTGCAGGAAGTGGTTCAATTCCTGAATTTTTCCAGCTTATGAAACGACAGTTTACTGAGGAGGAGTGGCGAGTTATCAAGTCCATGAAGAATGAATGGCTTCAGTTGGATATGTTTCATAGGCACTGGGTAATAAAATTTGTTATTTATAGTCAGCTAATATAGTCCCTGTTCAAACGCGTAAGCATTTTTTATTTTGAGAACACTTTTAGGAATGTGGTATGTCTTATTTTGAAAACATTCTGGAAGAATTCCGATGAATCCAAAATCTTGATTCAGTAATTCAATCATAAGGTAATTCTGGCTGTCCCAGTTGTATCTTGGCCTTTCTTTAAGGAGTTTAGGTGTAAGTATACAAGATTATTTTTCTATTTGATTGTTCCAACAATCTTGTTTGACGGTTTACTTAAATTGAGGAAGTATGATTCACCCAGTGACCTCAAATTTAATCCGGGTCTTACAAACTTAATTTCCAAATGTTTGACCTGTGAAACTAACAATAGATTAAATCCCACTATCTAGGAATAAATACTATATTAATTATATTATATTATATTATTGGTTTGTTCATTATGTCAATGGAACCTGAATTTCCAGGAGATTTTGGTAACTTTCTGAAAACGATTTTGGCTAGCTCAGCTGAAGATAAATCAGGTAGAACCTTTTTGCTTATATCAAGGGTTATGATGAGTCTGAAGAGCTGAATGTGCTTTAGCAGACCAAGGGCTGCTGGGAGACTACATCTCCTACCTCTTAAGAAATATATATTTGCAAAGGATAAATGAACCTGTCCCTCCTCCATTGATAAAAAAATAATAGCTGCTTCAGATCTTCCTTTCCTTTTCCATCCTCGTTTTTTAAAATTTTATCTCTTTTCTACTAGACTGTGAATGTGTTCACAGGAGTTACCTTACCTTTCAATAGAAAATATTAGGCATTTATGTGTGCGAAATTTTAAAAAGCGCTTCTTTGATGCTATTGAAATTTTTAAAAAGTTGTATTGCAACTGGAGAGGGCAGTTTAGCAGAGGCAGCCTTAGGGAAAGAAGGGCTAATCCCTTTTATTCCTTTTGCGCCCCATCCTTAGAATGTTGCCCATGCACGTGGGAATTAAGCTTCTTAAAAGCTTCCATTGGCCTAATTTATAATGGGGGCTGGCTGCATCCCCAAAGAGGTACTTAGTTAATTAAGGGTTTTTAAAAGTCAAACTTTTGAATGGAGAGAGGGTACAGAAAAAATGCGGGGAGGGGGGCAATAAAGAACATGAGAAGCTAGAAAATGAGATCTAGTTCAAGACTTGAAGAGACCATAGAATTATAGTCCAGCACATTAAAAGAGGGTCAGGTTCAGGGCAGCAACATTAGATTCACAGGTGAAAAGTATCAGAAGTAGTAGTAGTTCTGATCTAATAATTAAAGCTGTCCTTCAACTAATTTCAAAATTATGTATATATAATTACTAAAACAATAAATGTGTGAAGAGAAGGAATAGTGTCTCTCATGACTGGTTTAGAAGGCTAATTAATGTATAGAAATGACTCAGAATGATTTACAAACCTATATTATATACAGAACAACCACTTGTGTTTGAATGTTGAATTTTAGGCATTAAAAGAGAGCTTCATAAAAGCCATTGGCGTTGGAATAGGATTTGACCTTCAAAGGATTGAATTTAATGTGTCCCCAGTGGAGCTGGAAGTGGGGAAAACATACAATGAAACTATTATATTCTTGGATGGTGAAGAAGAAAAGGAGTGGACATTTGAGGTATGATTTCAATTTACAAACTGTTCCCTAGATCCATCATACGTATTGAACTGAAACATAATAGGTTTGTATTGATATAAATGATACTTTCTCTAGCATTATTAGCATCTCCCTCCTCATTAGCTAAAATCTTTCCTTCTCTCTTGCTTTATGCAGTATCTTTAGCAACAGCATATTTTTAGCATCAGCTATAAATTTCTGAGTCTGAAATATCAAGTTACTGTCTGACTTCTGTCCAATAACTTTTGGCATGCTGATGTAATGATTGGGTTGAAGAATGAGCTTTCCTAATGAAATGTAGCCATGTTTCTAAAGCAAAAGAAAAATAAATTGCTGCCAGAATTCCTATTACTCATCTCCAACTGAAGCATCTTTAAACTTTTAATATCTGTAATCTACATGACGTTATGACAATATCTTCCAGTAACTTCAGATTCATTAGCTTTTTTAAAAAATGAAGTAATATGGAAGTCACTGAAAAATGCCATTTTAACTCCTAGATTACGGAAACTCAGTTCTTGTTTTGAAACATGAAATGGAAAAAAAATGAAACAAATGTTCTCTTATATCTTAAATAATAGTCAAGAAAGAAGTCAGATTACATCTTTTACCATCCACACTGTTCTTTGACTGGTGGACTGCGTCCTAGCAATCATTAGCATCACCAGGTTTTGTTGTTTTACTTTTTTGAATGACAAAACAGGGCAAGTGAAAATAAATGAATCAGGGATGCCAAGGAGAGTTGGGCAACCTTTTTTCTTCAACCAAGCTCCTTTAGGAGTAGTGTGGGGCGGGAGCAAACAATGGGGGCCCAGAACCAAAAGTGGATGGGGGTACCTCTTTTCTCTCTCTCTCCCTCCCTCCCTCTCCTCCTCTCTCCTTTTTGGGACACTTTGTGAAGCAATAGGCTATAGGAAAGAGCAAATGGTCTCAGAGCTTGGAAGTGTTGTTTTGCATAGTATGTGTTTTAATATCAGTTGGAGGGTTACATAAAATTAACCGAATTTGATCCTTCCTGGCATAGGAGAAAGTGAGGTAGCAGTTGAAATATAGAACTGGACTCTAGGCAGAATTTTTAGAAAGGAAAGGAAAAGATAAACAGGGAATGAGTGAATGAGTTTTAGAGAAACATTTTAACTGAGAACAAAGGAAGAGAATTAAATAGAAGGGCATTCTAGTGATCTGAAGCTGTCTGGAAAATGAACTATAGTTGAAGAGTAGAGATTGTAATTTTAGGTTAAAATAGAAGATAGGCAATTCAGAATGAAGGAATTAAGGAACAACCTGCTTAGAAATGATAGCATTGATTGCAGGTTTAAGGAGGCCCTGGCACTCACAGGCTGTTTTGTGGAACCCCTTCTTCTATCAGTGGTCCATATTATTAGGCCTTATAGCTTAACTAACCACAGAAATAAGCAGTGCTAGGCATTTAGCCATTGAATACGGGTAGTCCTCGTTTAGTGACCAATAACAGTTAACAATGGTGATAAGTAACTTGACGACCAATCCTTGCATTTACAACCTTTGCAGGTCTGTAAAGCAAAGGAAAGCTGAAGTAAAATCGTAAGCACGGTGGTGGTTTCACTTAGAGACCACTTCACTTAACCGGCCCAATTGTTGTCACCAAACAAGGACTACCTGTATCCCACAGTAATCTGCACTGGGGATTGTGGAAAATAAAAATGATGACTATATTCAGCTATATACATGTCTGGGTCAGGCATATTTGGACTCAGTAAATGTTAGCTATATGCCCTGCCAAGTCTTTAAAATTATGGAGCAAATGCCAGCTTTGAAAAAGAACGTTCACCAAATATGCTTTTCTTGTTTCTACTGTTTTGTTCATTTTTTAAGATAGAAGAATGATACTTCAGCATAGCTAAGTCTTCCCCAGTTGATGCCTTCAAAAGGAGTTAAGTCATGATTCTTTAATCCTCAACCTTGGGTCAGGTTGATAAGCATCTAGTTGAGAAAGGCTAGCTTAGGCTGTAATGTCACCGAGCACATAAGTCATACCAATTCTTACTTCTGTTTTATTTGTCATCCAGGAGACCCGATTAGATGATTTCCACTATATTGCAGTTGCTCTTGGAAAATCAGGAGAGTTTGGCAAGAACCATTCTGGGGTAAATTATTCTGCAAATTTTTCCTTAAATGTTCATAGTATATCTTCTGAAGTAAATACTGGTTGAAATTTGGCATTTTCTGCCATTTTTTTTTAATTTATTTATATTTCAAATTTGTCACTACTCATCTCACTGCAGAGCGACTCTGGACTCCACCATATGATGGAGTAGGGTTTTTTCCCAGTTTTTATTGTCAGCTGTTTGAAATTTTGTTCCAGTTAAGTCATGTTGGGCTTGGGCATGTTTTATTCCAAGGCAGCAGATGCCATACCACAAGCGACTAACATATATTTCACTTTATTTATTTATACCCCAAGACCAATATTTAAAAGAAAACAATGCTACAACTTATAAAATATAAAAAAATAAAAATTATACAGAAATGCCTAAAACAATTAGCAGTGTAAAAAAGGCATCGGATGATTCTGCAAGGCATGGCTATTGAAACAATTAGCAACCTTATTCAAAGTAGCTGAAATTTGATCACCCAGGAGAAAAATGATAACCTGCTGCTCAGAGAAGCAATTAAGATTTCTAATAATTGGTGTTATGAGTTCTGTCCTCCATTTATTGTACAGAGGCATGCTAGCAGTACACGTGAAACAGATTCGACTTCTCTATCTCTATATGTGTGATTTTCATAAGGGATACTGATATATCTACCAGTCATTGCCTTTATAGGCAATTCACCAGTTTGAGCCAAGGTGAAGAGTCTCCTATGTGAAATATGTGAAATGTTATAAAAATATCTGAGAAAAGAGCAGGGGAGGGTGATTAAAGAGCTGTATTGGAGGTGGGAAATCCTGGTTATAGCTGTTTGGAGATCTGGGTCCCGGATCTTCTGCTGAAGGTTGCTAGAGTTTTATCAAGGGTGAGACCGGCTAATGCTGGAAAAGAAAAGCTGCAATAAGTCAGATTGAGATAGATTTCTCTTCTTAGGGAAGATTCAAAGTTATCTAATAAGGTGAGGTGAACCAAAGATGCTCCCCAAAAGATTTGCTTCAACCAGTATTGGAGGTGACAGAGCCTCAGACAGGTCCTAAGCCTAATTCCAGCTGGATAAGGGAGTTAAGGCTGGAATAAAGAACCCAAGTTATGGCCTTTAAAAATATGGATTGGATAGCTTCTAACCTAGGAGCATCCTTATAAATTCATAGCTGGGTGGAGCTTATACTGTATTTAATCAGCAAAATATTTCACTGAATAGGGACTTAAGAAATAATTAATCATATACTAATGCTGTTTAATGTGTTTATTATACATTGGTTTCACCTCTCCAAAGGATCCCTATAGGAATCTTCCTCCCACCACATAATCCTCATAACAATCCAGAGAGGTAGGCCAGCTTGAGAAATTTTTTTTTTCTATATAAAATCAGGCTGAGTATAGTCTTCTCTGCTAATCACATAGCATAAAAACAAACTGCTTGGCAGTTTTATTTCCAGTTCATTTCCCAATAAACTACTTGCAGAATTTGCTTGTTTCCTAATAGCCAAACAGTGTATTGACCTTTTCATCAACCTGTCCTTATAACCTCAAAATCCTTTTTTTGGATAGTCACTGCTAGCTCAAAACCCATTGTTATATTTGTGATAGTATTATTGTCTTCCCCTTGTGCTCATCACTAGCTTACACATTTGCCATTTTAATGTCAATTTCCCTAGTTTCACAAAAGTCCTTTGGAACTCCTTTTTTTTTTTTTTTGGTTGCTTGAATAAATTTAATAAGTAAAGAGGTAAGATTGCTTTGCTAATCTTTCACAAATTCACATACTTTATGAACAAAAAACACTGGTCCCAATAAGAGACTTGGAGGGGGTCACTATTTACATCTCTCCAATGTGAGAGGTAAAAAGGTAACTTCCTTGAGTAGAGTTCAACTTCTGCTGCCTTTCTGGACATGTTTAGGTAGATTTTATGCCTAATTTCTTTCTGTCCTTAACCAGTCGCTCCTCATTAATATGTCTTTTTTATTCCATGACTGTTATTTTTGCACAGGGATCTTTGATAAAGGACTTGTCAAAAGATTTTTGAAACTCCAAATAAACAATATTAGCAAATCACTCTCAAGCGATTTATTTGTCTAAAAAAAATCTACAATATTAAAATGAAATGACCAGTGAAAAGTCATGCCAAATTCTTCTTTGGCAATATTTTTCCTCACATATACTCGATGATTCTATCTTGAATAATGTTTTCACACAAACATTCCTGGAACACGTCCATCATCTATACTTTCCTGAATCTTTACTAAATCCCTTGTTGAAAAAAGTGTTACATTGACAGCTTTCATCCGCTGATACAGAGCTAAAGTTTAAGGACAAATTAAGTATTTTGTCAGCAATTTCATATGTTGGGTTCTTTAAAACAAGAATAAACTAGTTCCGGCTATGTTTCCTTTTCTACTATTAATCCCATGAATTTAATTTCTTTGGCTTGTTATTTTTTACTTATTTTCTGTGCTCTGAATAATATTATTTATCTTGCAAGGGAATAATATGGTGAGTACATATGTGAGCATGATTTTATGCTCTTGTTATTTTAAAAGCTTTTTTGCATCCTTTATTACGGAAATAGACAAGCCATGGGCTTAATGCATCCCGTAGCTCCTCATTTGCAGCCCCCTCCCAGCACACAGAGTTTGTGCAATTGAAACTTTCAGCAGTGCAGTTTTTCTTCTTTTTCACATAAAAGTGGAAATTGGAACCAACAGTCTCTTTGAGGCAAACCAATTCCACTACCTCCTTTAAAACCCCCAAACTGACTGAAAATCTGCCAATTTGGTGGCACAACTCAGCTGATTGTTTGGGTTTGGAGGAGTTATAGGTGGGAAATAGGAACTTTTAAAAAAACTTCCACTACCATTCCTACCCTTTACAAAAAAAAAAAAAAACAAGGGGAGGAAAGGCTGAATTTTTATCCCACTCCTTCTGCTGTTATTTCATTGCTTTAAACAACCATAGTGACATTATATACATGGACATCACCAGATGGAGTATGCAGAAATCAAATTGACTATATTATTGGTAGAAGGAGGTAGAAGAACTCTGGGATAACAGCAAAGACATGGCCAGAAGCCAACTGTGGAAAATCATCAACTGCTCATATGCAAGTTCCAAGTTAAGCTAAGGAGAAAAAGAAAGTCAACCAGTTTCCACAATATGATCCTGTGCATATACCCACCAATTTGAAGGAGTACATCAGGAATTGCTTTGAAGTCCTGAACTGCTGTGATAGGGAACCAGAGGAATGATGAAGTGAAATTAAAGAAATTGTTATGGATGAATGTGGAAAGAGACTGCCAAAGACCAAGAAACAAAAGAAACCAAATTAGATGTCAGAACAAACAGTGGAAATTGTCAAGAAGAGAGGAGAAGTCAAAGCCAAGAAAGACAAAGATCTCAGGAACAAACCTGACAAAGTATTTCAAAGAGCTGTAAAAGAGACAAGAAGCAATATTACAACAAATCTGTAAAGATATCAAAGATGGAAACAGATAGAAAAACAAGGAAAGTTTTCCAAAAGACCTCTGAGCTCAGAAGGAGGTTCCAATCTCAAACTGGTATGCTGAAGGATGCCAATGGATAGATAATAACTGATTCAAAGATCAAAGAAAGGTTGAAGGAGTGTGCTGAAATTCTATACAGTAAGGATATAGTATCAACATCAAAGACACCATAGAAGATACTCCCTACTTACAAGAACCTTTAGTACTAGAAGATGAAGTTAGATAAGCCCGCTAGTCATTACCAAGTTGGGAGCTACAGAAATTGATGGAATATCTACAGAACTATGGCAAGCAACAGAAGAAAAACCATTAAAGGTTCTAATCTAACTACAGTATACCAGCAAACTTGGAGAACGACACAATGGCCAATCGATTGGAAGATCTACGGTCAATCTACGTTCCAGTACCAAAACGATAGTTAATGGAGTATGCAAATTATCATACAATATCCTTAGTTTCTCATGCTAGCAAAATAATGCTTTAGAAAAGGCTGAGGAACATGAAACATTATTGCTGATATACACTGGATAATTCAGAAAGCCAAAGAATAACAAAAACAGTATGTGCTTCATTGATTATAGAAAAGACTTTGATTGTGTTGATTATGTTGAGCTGAGGAGTGTACTTAGAAAATGGGAATCCCAGACCATCTCTTTGTTCTCATGCAAAAACTATATGCATGACAGGAAGTCACAGTATGGACAAAAAATGGAGAAACAGACTGTATCTAGGTTGGCAAAGGAGTGAGACACGAGTGTATACTCTCCTCTTATTTATTCAAACTACATGCAGAATCTATATTGATGAGAGCTGGATTGGAAGAAGATTAATGTAATTTTAAAGCTGGAGAAAGAAATGTCAATAACTGTGCTATGCTGATGACACTACTCTGAAGCCAAAAATGCAAATCAGTAAGCTCTAGTAATAAAAATCAAGGACCACAATGAACAACTGGGACTAAAATATAAAGAAAACCAAACTAACAGATACAACCAGACTTAGAACTGACAATTATGATATTAAAGAGATAGATAGCTGCTACCTTTTAGGATCAACAACCAACAGTAAAGAAAAAGCAGTCAATATATATGCCACAGGCTAGTACACAGTAGAGCAGCCATGAAGGTCTTGGAAAAGATATTCAGATCTACAAAGATCAGAATTGTGCAAACCATGGTATTCCCTTTGACCCTCTATGGAAGTGAAAGTTGGATTTTGAAGGACCAGGATAGAAAGAGTATTGGCACTTTTGAACTTTGGGGTCTGAGAAGACTCTAAGAATACCATGGATAGCCAACAGAACAAATGGATCATTGAACATATCAACCCAGAGTTCTCACTCAAGGTACAAATTACCAGGTTCAAATGATCATACTTCAGACATGTAATGGAAAGACCTAGCTCTTTGGGGAAGTCTATAATACTGGGAAAGGTGAAAAGAAGGAGAAGAAGAGGAAGACCAGCAGCAAAGTGGATGGATTTAGTTACCGCAATTATGGGTGCACTGTTGGAAAACCTGAAAGACCAGGCTGGGGACAGATCCTCCTGGGAAAAAAATCCATGTGGTCACTAAGAGTTGAAATCAACTTGATGTTATTACCACCTTCCAATAATATCATCTGCAAGCTTCTAACCACTGCAGGGAATGAATTGCAGCCCCTGACTTAAAAAAAAAGTTGCCAACCCTATTTATTTGTCTCTTGGCATTTATTTTGTACAGTGGAACCTCGGGTTATGAACGCTTCTGTTCATGAACTTTTTGGGTGACAACCAGCTCCGGCCGCAAAATTTTGCTTCGGTTCGCGAACTCCGCCTCGGGTTACGAACAGGATCTGCGGCCATTTTCCCTCTCGTGACCCAGTCCGCGGCCATTTTCCGCCCCGACACGTGGTCCGCGGCCATTTTCCG